ACAAAATTCATTTATTAAGTCTAGAAATTTTTTGATGGAGTCTTTAGGGTATTCTATGTACAATATCATGTCATCTGCAAATAAGGACAGTTTTACTTCTTCTTTTCCAATTTATTTGTATTTACAGAAGAGTCAGTTTGTGGTTCAGCCCCTTGGTGGCAGTGTTTCTGGATTGTCCTCCGAGGCTATAAGTCCTCTCTAGCCAGTTTTTAGGTGTTGTTTTCCCTATCGCACTTAATACTGGTTTGGGAGAGTTGGCTGCCCCAGAGCCGGTTCCTTGATCGTTACTCCCTGCTCTGATTCTCAGGTTCCACAAAAACAACTTTCCCCTGCAGTCTCTGTGAGTGAACCCAATTGGGCAATCCTATGTATTGCATTTAATAATCAAATGGAAATATTTAAGGAGGGGAAAAAAAAGAGCCTGAGTAGGTGCGCGAGCTCACAACCCTCCACCGTCCAGCTCTGCACAAATCTCCCAAAGTCTCTTCCGCACTCCTCTCTCCCCTGGCACTAAGCAGCCGGCACACTGGCAAAATCCGAGGCTGCCTTTTTTGCACCCAGTCCAGCTTGGGCTGGTTTTAGAGTTCCCTTCTGCCAGCAGCCCTGCAGGACCCCTTCCACACTCGCGAATCACGCTGGCCCCAATGGCCGCGGACTTTGTGGGGTGCAGACTTCCCCTGCGTGCATTCCTTTCTCCAACCTGAGTTACAAACCGCACCTTTAGGTGAAATCTGACCTTTCCGTGAGGAGGAGCAGGGCTTGTCTGAGTCCACGTAGTCGCGCTGCTTGAGATGATCCCAACAGTTCCCTTCTCTGTAAGTCCTCTGCCTTTCCTGGCTGCAGACTGTCTCCCAGCTGAATCTCCTCTGCCAATTCAGGCTGGATATTACTCGTTTCAGCTGCTCACCCTATCTGCTCCGGGACAAGGTATGGGACACGTCCGTCTATACCGCCGCCATTTTGTCTCTCCCAGCTGCCCTCTTCTGCTGGCTGGTCACCCCAACTGCCCTGCTGGCCTGATCACCCCTAACTGCCTTTCCCTGCTGACCTAGTTGCACCCAACTTCCCCCCTCTGCTGGCCTGATTACCCCTAACTGCCCTCTCCTGCCAGCCCGGTCCCCCCCCAACTGCCCTCCCCTGCCAGCCTGGTTGCCTCCAACTGCCCTCCCCTGCCAGCCAGATCGCCCCCAACTGCCCTCCCCTGCTGACCTGATCACTCCCAACTGCCCTCCCCTGCCGGCCTGATTGCCCACAACTGCCCTCCCGTGGTGGCCATCTTGTGGCAGCCATCTTGTGGTGGCCATCTTGACTCGAGGGTGGCCATCTTGTGGTGGCCATCTTGTGGTGACGTTGCGTGTGATGCCACCTAGGTTTTTATTATATAGGATCAGTGTTGTCTTAACTTCCTTGTGAGGTAAGGTTCCCCTTATCTCCCATTCCCATTTTACAGATGACAAACAGGGCCAGCAAAGTTAAGTGACTTGATCTGAGTTGGATAGCAGTACATACTGTATCACACTGTCTGGAACCCTAACATTTTTCTTTTTAAGTTGTACCTTTAAGTTGGTACCATGGCTAAAAGAATGGACTCTGGAGCCAGACTGAGTTTGAATCTTAACTCTTCCACTTACTAGTTGTGTAGTCTTAGGCAAGATACTTAACTTCAGTCTCTAGTTTCACAATGGGATAATAATAGTATTTATCTAATAGCATAATAGTATCTACCTAGCCCTGGCCAGTTGGTTGGACTGTTATCCCCTACACTAAAAGGTATGGTGGATTTGATTTCCAGTCAGGGCACATACCCAAATTGCAGGTTGAATCCCCCATCAGGGTGCATAAGGGAGGCAAGTGATCGATGTTTTTTTCTCTCTTTCTCTGGCCCCCTTTCTCTCTCAAATCAATAAAATCATACCCTCGGGTGAGGATTAAAAAAAATAGTATCTCCCTAATAGTGTTTTTATGAGGATTTAATGTGTTAAAATAGGTAAGATACTTAGAACAGTGTCTGGCACTGTGGATAGCATACTGGATAGACTGGGTGAGAATTA